GCTAAATACAACAAAGCACCTACTGCACTCAGATATGGTATTTCTGGACCAAGGACCAGCTCATCATCTTCTTTTGGACGAAATGGATCTTTCTTAATGTCCAAAGAACGAACGACCATTGGCGTGCTTAGTGGATAAGCCTTGTCCATACCAAATCGCTTCAGAATTTTTTCAATGTAAGCTGATTGGTGGACCAAAATTCCACTAGCACAAGCTCGATCTACAGGCCGAGACAATATTTTGTTTTCCCAAGGTCTTTCATTTCAAATTCGCTTTTGATATTCAGCAGTTTAATTGAGCTCTTCAGGAGTTCCAACTAGATTCATATCATCAAAATATACTGCCACTATAGCGAATCCAGAATTGGATTTCTTAATGAACACACAAGAGCAAATAATATTGTTGATATACCTTTCTTTGATCAAATACTCACTGAGACGATTATACCACATTCGTCCAGATTGCTTCAGACCATACAATGATCGCCTTAATTTGATCGAGAGCATACCTCGTGGTTTATTACTTGTTTCAGGCAACTTAAGTCCTTCTAGGACTTTCATATAGATGTCAGTATCTAATTCTCCATATAGATACGCAGTGATGACATCCATAAGTCGCATGTCAAGTCTTTCTGAAACCACTAAACTTATTAAGTAACGAAACGTAATTGCGTCCATTACAAGAGAGTATGTCTCCTCATAATCAATTCCAGGTCTTTGAGAAAAACCTTGTGCAACGAGTCATGCTTTGTATCTTGCGATCTCGTTTTTCTCATTGCGTTTCCTTGTGAATACCCATTTGTAACCCACGGGGTTTACACTAGGCGGGGTTTGGACTACTGGTCTAAAAACATTCCGCTTTTCCAAAGAATTTAATTTTGCCTGGATTGCATCTTTCCACTTAGGCCAATCCTGTCTCCGTTTGCATTCATCAACAGAGTGGGGCTCAATATCATCACTTAAGATAATTTCAGTGGCTACTGCAAATGCAAACATATCATCAATGATTATTTCATTCCGATCCCACAATTCATTTGTACATGCATAATTTATGGAGATTTATTTGTTTTCATGTACTTCTGTCTCTTCAGGGACAGATGTCTTATCAAGGACATTTTTTTTTTTTAGAAGTCCAGAATTATGAATTGTGGATGTATCATTCATTTTCTCTTCTTGAATGACTTCATTTGGATTCAGTTGTGCCCTCGACTTTCTCTTTCGAGGGGCTGAATCTTTTGAACCTGGGGGTCTACCACGCTTCAGGCGTGCACCAAATGAATCATTCACTGCCACTTTATTTTGTCCAACAGGGACATCAATTCTTGCAAGTGCATTTGCAGCTGGTATATGTGATTTTGTCACTTTCATAGCATCATTAAATGCATCTGGCATTTGATTAGCAATGCTTTGAAGATGAACGATCCTTCTCACTTCATTTTCACATTGAATGATGCGAGGATCAAAATGAGACAAGGTGGGAACAACTCGTGTCAGCTCTTTCCGTTCTTCTGGAACGGCCTTTTCTCCCCCTAACAACGGGAAAATTGTCTCATCAAAGTGATAATCAGCAAAACGAGCTGTAAACATATCACCTGTCAAGGGTTCCAAATATCTAATGATAGATGGTGAATCTAAACCCACGTAAATTCCCAGTCTACGCTGAGGTCCCATTTTAGTGCGTTGCGGTGGTGCAATAGGCACATAAACAACACAACCAAAAACTCGTAAATGGGAAATGTTTGGCTGATGTCCAAACACGAGTTGTACTGAAGAGTATTGATGGTTGGCTATAGGTCTCAATCGAACCAATGATGCAGCATGTAAGATGGCATGTCCCCATGCAGAGACTGGCAATTTGGTTTTCATAAGCAGAGTGCAAGCTATTAACTGAAGCCGCTTGATCAATGCTTTTGCTAAACCATTTTGAGTATGGACATGAGGAACAGGGTGTTCAACATCAATGCCTAATGTCATGCAATAATCATTAAAGGTTTGAGACGTAAATTCACCAGCATTATCAAGTCGGATTGACTTAATGGGATAATTTGGGAACTGTGCTCGTAACTTAATTACTTGAGCAAGAAGTCTTGCAAAGGCTACATTCCGAGTAGACAAAAGACAAACATGTGACCATCGGGTAGATGCATCAACCAAAACCATAAAATATCGAAATGGTCCACATGATGGTTGAATAGGCCCACAAATATCCCCTTGAATTCTTTGCAGAAATGATGGGGATTCAGCATCAACCTTTAGTTGTGATGGTCTAATTACCAACTTCCCTTGAGAACAAGCTTTGCAAGGGTTATCATTTGAGGCAGCAATGTGTCTGCTCATTAATGGATGTCCATTAGAGTTGATAATGATCCTATGCATCATGGTAGATCCTGGATGACCCAGACGATCATGCCAAAACATGTAAACTTTTGAATCAATGAACTTCTGGTTCATGACAGTATGTGATTCAATTGTCCTTATGTATGTATAATATAATCTACTCGACATACCACGCAACTTCTCCAATAAACACTTCTGGGTATCATTGGAGGTAATGCATAGATACTCCACATTTTCTGCACTTTTTGTTTCAATGTGGTATCCATTTAGACGTATGTCTTTGAAACTCAACAAATTTCGAGTAGATCGAGTAGCATACAATGCATTCTGTATGGACAATATTGTTCCATTTGGTAACATAATCTGGGCTTGCCCTGAACCTTGAATTACATCTGAAGGTCCTGATATTGTTGTTACCCCTACTCTTGTAAGTCTTAAGCTTGAGAAATACTTTCGATCACAAAGTATTGTATGTGTGGTTGCACTGTCTGCAAGACAAATATCTCCGCCATTTCTCATGTTCTGAGAATAACCACAATTTTTATCCATGCTCTCTGAGTAAGAGAATCAGAGTTAAAAGCAAGTTATAACAAGAAATTTACATGCCACTTTTATTGAATCTGAAAATACTACAAGTTCAGCATAATAAAAGTACATTAATGATTCAATCGGACCGGTATACTTCATTTCCCCTTTCCACAATAAAGTCTGGAACATCTAGATGAGTTGTGTTCAACCGCCCTGATAAGTCAAACACTGGATCAGGTATATCCATTGGTCTAGCCTGGTCGAAAAAGTTGGTCTCGACACCCTTCTCCTTGAGGGAGGCTTGATACAGATCCATTAGATGTTTTGGGGTACGACAAGTACGTGCCCAATGCCCATTGCCACCACACCTATGGTAGGCTCCTTCAGAGTTTCTAGGAGCATTGTTCATATGAGCTTTGCCTTTGTGGCGATTCACATTTTTGAAGCTCGGACCTGAATTATGCCTCGGAATCTGGTTGTGAAACTGAACTCCATGGTTCTTGCCTTTCCTATTCCATCGACCTCGCTTGTGGCCACGTCCTCGTTTATGATTATCACCACCAAAGGATGTGGCGTTCACTTCAAGGGAAGCAGCATTCACTTCTGGGAATGGTGCAGATCCAGTAGGTCGGGAATGATGGTTTTTCATCAGGAGCTCATCATTTTGTTCAGCTACTAAGAGCACAGATATCAGCTGGTTGTACTCAGTGTAGCCTCGCGCTCTATACTGCTGCTGCAGGAGCACGTTGGAGGCATGAAATATGCTGAGAGTCTTTTCCAGCATATGCTCCTCAGTAATAATATCCCCACAGAGCTTCATCTGAGAGGTAATTCTGAACAATGCAGAATTGTATTCTGCCACTGACTTGAAGTCTTGAATCCTCAGATGAGTCCACTCATAGCGGGCCCTTGGAAGAATCACCGTTGTCTGGTGATTGTATATGTTTCTCAAGGCATTCCAGAGAGCTAACGGATCTTCAACCGTTAAGTACTCGCTCTTTAGCGCCTCATCAAGATGGCGGCGAATGAAAATCATGGCCTTTGCCCGATCTTGAGAGGATGAGTTACTCTCTTCCCTGATGGTATCTCCAAGATTCCCTGCTTCCAGATGGATCTTGGTATCCAGTACCCAGGTCAGGTAATTCTTCCCGGTAATATCCAGGGCAGCAAATTCAAGCTTCGCCAGGTTCGCCATTTTCTTTTCTGAAAGAAAATGAGATGTGTAAGAACTTGCAATAATATGTATTCCTGGAGGAATATGATGTTAGAACTTTTGGTTCTCACAAATTTTTCATTTTGATCTTCAGGCCAAAATGATAAGCACTCGAAACTTCTGGCTCAAGATTTTCAGGGTGAATGAGGAGGGCGATTGTACCGCACCATTCTCATTGAAATAATGTAATATAGAATGAGCGATTATTCCGCACCACTCAAGTAACATGAAAATTAAATATGCAGAGCAGCGTGGGCGATTATACTGCACCACATAAAATTGCAATGAAATTAAACAGCAGGTAAATTCGAATATGCAAGGTAGGGTGTGCGATTATACCGCTCCACCTAAAAATTGCAGTAAAATTAAATCTGCAGTCCAAGATAGGCGATGATATCGCACCGTCTTGGATCGCAGTAAGAATAAATTTGCAGTTCAAGATGGACGATTGTACCGCACCATCTTGGATTGCAGTAGAATTAACATAAATAAATACTGGGTTAGTAATTAATCTCTACACCAAACAAGTAATCAAAAATGTATGTAACCATTAATTGGAGGACTAAGAGCAGACATGGAGCAAACAATTCATCGCGAAGGTATACGACGCAGTTGAGGCAGAGGAAGAAGATGAACAGTAAAAACCTTAAAGGAAACATTTTTTTATTTCTTTCGTTCGTTCGGTGAAGAGAGATGAGAGAATAATTATATTTAGAGACTCGTGCTGATAACGTGTTATAAAAGGGTTAAAGTTTGAGAGAATAACCTTTTTAATGGTAGGTGCAAGGTAGATGTAAAATGCCACACTAAAACTATAGCACAAGCAGATAACAAATAAAAACAGAGAAAATAGATGATGTTACTGATATTTTTCTCTCGTTCACTTCTTCTTTTCTTTCCTTGTAACTTAAAAACATGCGAAGTGCTCTAAACTGATGCAGTTAATGCATCTTGAAATTTATGAAACTTCGTCTGACTATACAATCTCTTTCACTTTACATGGGCATTGAAAACTTTGCCCATCCAGAAGACTTTCACAAATGAAACTGTGGGCATTCATTGCCCATGAGACTTTTCAACATCTCGTATATTATATACAGTCGTCGACCACATAAATATCACCCCCAAATCATCCTAACGAACGATTGGAATATCAAAACTGGTCTATAAAACAATCAGTCAAAAAGAAATTAAACCCGCTATTTATGCTTAGAATGCGAGTAATGGTTGTCGTTGGGATTCCTCCTTCCACTGAAAACGGCTAGAGCCTTCCTTATGGGAGACTGCAAAGGAGCCTTTTTATCGGTATGGTGGCAGAAGATGAAGTCATTGGTAGCAAACAAGTCGTCTCCCTGCAGATGCGACGTGGGATAATCAGACAGTTGATAATTGAGAAATAATAAACACGCACGGAATCAGAGAGGGTCACAACTAATGGAAACCAAAGAGTTTGAAAAGTTACCACCTTATGTGCTTTCTTCTTTGTCTTTGGATGTAGAAACTTTTGTGGGAGTTGATCTTCACGTAAAATGGGGTTCTTGGAAATGGCATCCCTTCCACCTTGAGGTAAAGGAAGTGAAAACTGCAAACAGCCATACATCAAGATGCGCACATGGGCAAGAATTCTTCAAGTGAAATGCAAAAGAGGTAAACATGAAACTACAAATGCAAACATGTGAGCCGGCACACAAAGAGATGGATAAAGTATTGATGTATACTGAGTCCTTGAACGTAATGCCTTATGTTTCCTAATTCATTTGTTACTTGTGTGATCCCAATACCAATAATGTTATAAGCACAAAATCGAAGAGTACCCATAAATAATAACTGGTTGGTACAACAAGAGCGAGCGAATTGCGTAAAAACCATGGGATAGTGAATAAGCTTATAAAAGAGGTGATATGTGTTTTACTTGGCAATAAACCATCAGATCTAAGCTTAAGACAGATGGTGACCAATTCCTGGTAAAAGCTGATATAGAGATACTCACTCTTGTGCCACGCAATATGATCCGAGGTCGACGGGCTGCCATAACAATGCCATTCTCACCAACGGTAACTGCTACCTTCCGCAAAGTACCACCATTTCCACACTTTGTACAGAAAATTTTCCCAATTTCAGCAGTCACAGTATTGCATGCATGGCACTTCAAAATCCACCTATCAAAGATGACACCACAGAAGCTCATGATACAGTTGTTTCATCAAGCAATATTAGACACAATAGTGAAGGGAAGAACAGATTTAAATCCAATCGAAACAACTTAATTCTCACCATTCCATATAGAGTATTTAAGGTATCTTCAATAAACATCATGGTACACGCCAATCTATAGAGTTTGTAATAATATGCAAAGGATAATTGAAAGGTAGTGTATCAAATATGTACCTATGCAGCTGTCTGATCTGCATTCCTCCAGGTGCCACCAACCGTAAACCCATCTGCAAAATAACATTCTGCATTGCAAAATCACCAGTTATACAAGCTACATTGGACTCCGACAAGGACTTAAGTGCCCAGCTCTGCTCACTATGATCATCATTCAAAGTAGATGTATCAACACTTTCATTAGTCTCACTTGAGATCTCCAAGTGATCTAGCCCTTCATTTATCGTTTCAGCTTCATCCCCTTCAACAGAAAAATTCACATTATTATCAACGGTAGCTTCTGCTTCGAAATCATTAGCCTCTACCCCATTAAGCTCCTTCCCTTCTTGAAGAGCCCTTAGTGAATCTTCTTCCAGTCTCGTTTGCTTTAGAATTGAAGACAGGCCTTCATCGCCATTCTTTATCTTTGTTATCTCACCACCCTCAAAAATTCCATTTCTATTACATGCTTCTTCAGATTCTACAGGCAACGATTGATCATTGCCTCTAGCTTCCTCCTCTGCATCTTGAGCATCCTTTTCAGATAATAACTCGTTAGACTTGCGCCTAGCTTTTCTTCTCAAAAACCTCCGATGCGTACTTCGACTGACAGCAGGCATCCAGTCATCAGCATTATCATCCAACTGTCCTTGGGACGCATCAATCCCAGCCAAAACCATCTTCCCTTCAATGCTTATCTCTTTCTTCTTGGGAAAATTTCTCCTATGTCTTCTTTCAGTACCACCAACATCCTCCTGATTTTCAGAATGAGCATCACTTTTAACTTCCACCGCAGAACCATCAACAGAATGACTATCAGAATTGATCACATTCAAGTTTATATCCTTCAATGGAAGAATCCTCGAACTAGTGTTTGATTTCTCCTCTTCAGCATGTTCCAGAGCTTCCCACTCTTCCAAATTTGGAACATTATTGCCCCAACCAGGCAAATCCTTCTCTGGCAACCTCTTGACATTGACCGTATGCACCGGAGGAGGGCAGTCCCTAAGATGTTCAGTGCCATGTATCTGAGCTTCCAACGTATAGGTCAGAGCAGTGAGCTTGATATCCACATTTGTAAATCTCCGGTGGCCCTCGCAAACTTAATAACTGCTCGAAAAACACAGTACCAAATCAACCCCAATTCTAAAACACATCCTACAATCTTATAAATCCACATACCCATATCAAAATTTCAACAACAAATCCCTAAAATCATCTCACAGCAATAATTTTCTACTACAATTCCTCAAAATTAAGAAACAATGAATAATTAAAGCTTTAAGCTTTCTCAAATAAAACGTGAATTTATTGACAAAGAAAAAAAAAAACAATTATGTGTACCTTTGTTGAGGGATTCAGGGGAGGGTTCCATGGTTTGGACTTCAAAGGGAAGAAAGGCAAGCCGGTGGCGGGAAACGGGGTCGCGGACCTCGTCCATGACTTCCGGGATAGAGACCAGCTTGTCGGCACAGTGGCTGAGGCTCTCTCCGCCTTGAATGATGGCATTAGCGTCGACCACTGCCATGGCTATACCCTTGGAGGACTTGCAGCTCTCCACCAAGACATGGGCTGCTGCGTTTGCGTACGGCAGTAGCGTTGTCCATGGTTGCGTGCGAAGAAACGGAGGACCAGGGATGTTTGTTAAAGCCTAGAGGATTTAAGGTTGTCTCCAAGTAGCTAAATCACGAGAGATTTTTCAATGTGATCCTCTTGCACGAGGTGGTACATTTTTATATAAATAATAGGATATCTGTGTTAAAATGATAATAACTTAAAATTTTAAACTTTTCATCACTTACATAAAAATATGTGATGTATTATACGTGTGTTTGTTATAACTAAAAATTTCTCCTAAATAACAACTAAAACCTAAAGTAAAGAGAATATTAGAATAGGATCTCCCAATGAAAGCACACTTAGCTTTTCGGATCTTTCATTTGAGCTTTTGTTGTTAATTTTGTATTAAATAAATTAAAGAAAAGTCAAATAAATTGATTGAGAGAAATGTGAAGGAACAAATAGGAATATGAAAATCATTATTCTAACTCTTTAAGAATATAATCATTATTGCCAATTATTCATAAGATAATGAGAAGAGAGCTTTAAATTTTGAACCCCTTTCAGTGTTTAATTTATGAAATAGTCAGTGTTTAGTTAAAAAACAATGACAGCACTAGTGTTCAATTTAAGAAATAGTCAGCGTTTAGTTTACGAAAGAGTGATAGTATTAGTATTCGGTTTAAGAAATAGTCGGTGTTTAGTTTACAAAATAGTGATTGTATTAGTTTACAAAATAGTGATAGTACTATTGTTTAGTTTAAGAAATAGCCAGTGTTTAGTTTACAAAATAGTGAGAGTACTAGTATTTAGTTTAGGAAATAGTCAGTATTAGTTTACGAAATAGTGATAGTACTAGTTTACGAAATAGTTATAGTACTAGTGTTTGGGTTTAAGAAATAGTCATTGTTGAGTTTTCAAAATAGTAGTAGTACTAGTGTTCGATTTAAGAAATAATTTGTGTTTAGTTTACGAAATAGTGATAGTATTAGTGTTCTGTTTAAGAAATAATCAGTATTTAATTTATGAAATAGTGATAATACTAATATTCGATTTAAGAAATAGTCAATATTTAGTTTACGAAATAGTGATAATATTAGTGGTCATTTAAGAAATAGTCTGTGTTCAGTTTACAAAATAGTTAGTGTTCATTTAAGAAATAGTGATAGTATTAGTGTTCATTTTAAGATATAGTCAGTGTTTATTTAAGAAATAGTGTTCAGTTTAAGAAGTAGTCAATGTTCAATTTAAGAAATAGTGATAGTATTAGTGTTAATAAAATTGAAAAATAAAAATTATCTTTATTTTTGGTCTTGTAATATTATTATTAGTTTATTCTAAAAAAAATTATGAAACAATGGTCAAATAAACAAATAATAAAATAAAATAAAATATGTTTTGTGGAGTGAAAGTAGAGTGACATGAGAGAGTGGAGAGGTGAAAAGAGAGGAGAAAGGAGAGAGGAGAGAAAAAGTTAATGTGGATGGATGAGGCAAAAAGAGAGAAAAAGTTAATGTGGAGAAAAAATTGATGGGAATATGTGAAAGAAGGAATGGAGAAGGAAAAAGGTTAAGAATGGTGGAGTGAGGGGAGGAGGGAGAGTGCTGTGTTGTGACACGCGAGATTCGCACGTCAGTTTTATGTTAAACTTTTGTCATTTTCATTAAAATTTAAAATTTTTTATATTGAAGTTTAAGCCTTTTTCATTAATTAAAGTCAGGTGTTTTTAGCTAAATTGGTCTCTGAGATTTGCATAACTGCTCATTTTGGTCTCTGAGATTTGAAATTGATAGAATTGGTCCCTGAGTTTGTTTATAATCAATTATTTTGGTCAGTCCATGAAAAATCTCCATTAAATAAGGATAAAATGACAAAAGTACTCTTATTTTTGTTAAATCATTTTGAAATATTGTTTATTAAATTGAGGATATTATTGTTATTTTGATTCTAACTTAACTTTTCACGGAAGGACCAAAATGATTGATGGTGGACAATCTCAGAGACCAATTTTATTGATTTCAAATATCAGTGACAAAGTGAAGAGTTGTGCAAATCTCAGATATCATTTTGCCTAAAATGTCATAAAGTTATTATATGGCTTTTGGTTTAAAAAGTTTAAACAAGCCCTTTTCATTAAAGCTCATAAGAATTATTTGGTTTTGGAAGTTATTCTTTATTTGTAAATGAGAGAGTTTAACTTTATATCTTGTGAATTGTGAGTTTGATGCTAATTTACTTTTCTACTTCACCCTCATTTATTAAAGTGGTATTAACACTATTTGGTAGGATTATGGGAGCACACATTATGCGGGTGGCTCGCTTACCCTTTTTTTCGTTGATCCAGTTATTTCATTGGTTTGTTCTCTTGGTAGTGGTGGCCTTCCCTTAAAACTAAATCCCCAACCTAAAGACTTGTTTGACACTTTTGTTGTAGTATGATCTAAACTGTTGCTGGTAAGCAGCGAGCTGGACTTGGGCGCATTTTTGACGTTCTTCTGCAAAATCGAGATCGGATTTCAAGATCCCTAGTGTTATCTAGGATTCGCTTTTCTGTGTATAAGCTAGGCATGGCGGCGATTAGAACTGGGATGACCCCTTCTGTTTTATTTCCCCAGTCTCATTTCGAGAGTGGTTTGATATGCCCATAGAACTCCATGCAATTCTTTTGGCCATTTACTCTAATGGTTTCTTCAAGCACTGTAGAATGGTTTTGTTGAAGTTTTTACTTGTCCATTACCTTGCGGGTAACGCCGAATGAAGGTGAACCAATTTATAACTTTAAAGTTGGTGAGATGTAGTTTATTGTTTATGAGTATGGTATGAAGGATGCATGATCGATAAATGATGTTTTTCCATACGTAGGATTTTACCCCTATCCCAGTGATTATGGATAAAGGTTCTACTTCAATCCACTTGGAGAAATAGTCTATGCCTACTATCAAGTATTCTTTATGGCCCTGTGCCTTCTTTAGTCGTTCGACAAGGTTGATGCCCCATTGCATAGAAATGCCATGATCCTGCTAAAGTGCTAAGTTCTTCAACATGTTGATGGTTAATAGAGGCGTACCTTTGACATCCGTCGCAAGTTTGAGCATAGTTTACTGCATTATGTCGTATGATGGGCTAGTAATATCCTACCATCAACACCTTTTTTGTGAGGGATCTTCCGCTTGCGTTGTTCCTGCACACACTAGAATGGGTGTCGTTCAAGATCTGCAAGCTTATCTTCAAGGTGACGCAAAACGGGTGGGGTACGAAGTAGGAGCATTAGTACAATTTTCTACGTATGACCATGTATCTTGAAACCTTTTGGACCAGTTTCCTTGCCAAGTGGCGGTCTTCTGGTAACTTCTAATCCTGGATGTAACCGATTAACTCATTCATCTAGTTCTTCGTGGTGTCGATAGTGGCTACTACCTTCGGCTCAGAGTGGTGGATATTCGAAATCGTGAGATACTCGAACGAGATTGTTCATTGAAGTGCTTAGTCAATGATGGGCCCTATATTTGTTATGGTGTTGACGTGTCCATTCTCACTTCTAGGGATCTGTTGGATTTCGTGCTTGCTGAACCTTTCGAGCAGTAATTTGGCTTCAGTGAGGTAAAACCCCATTGTTGGATATTGAGCTGTTTAGTCACATTTGACATAATTCATTATCAAAATGGAGTCGCAATAAACCGATAGTTCCTTTACCTGTGGTTCTGCCATGATCTTTAGCCTAGTGAGCAGTGCCTCATTCTCCACCTCGTTATTGTTAGCCTTGAATCCCAACTTCATGGCTTACTCTAGTATGGACCTATCTGACGTTATCAAGACCATGCTTATTCCTGCTACGTTTATGTTCCAAGACCCGTCTATGTAGAGCTTACATAGTTTAGGATTTTTAGGTGTGTCTTGCAAATCTGTAAAAGATGGAATGTCTTGGTCTGGCAATGTGAATTTGCCATGAAGTTCACGAGTACCTAGGCTTTGATGAAGATCTTCGGATGATAAATGACTTTATGCTGCCTAAGTTCGATAGCCCACTTGGTGATGTTGGAAGATGCGTCTGGACTATGCAGGATCGTAGGGGGTGTTCTGTCATGTTGACTAGCTTGAATAATTGGAAGTATAGCTGGAACTTTGTAGCCGTGGTAGCCAGTGTTAGGATAGGTTTTTCCATCTTGGGATATCGTTTTTTTGGTTTGAGAAGAGCTTTAGAAACATAATACATTGGCTTCTGGTCCCTCAAGTCTTCTTGAATCAGGGTTGCGCTGACTGCATAGTTTGATACTGCTAGGTACAAATACAAATATTCCACATCCATCAGTTTGGATGGTTGTGGAGGGTTAGACGTTATTCCTTTAGTTTTATGAAGGCTTCTTCATATTCATCCCTCTAGAGTAGGCCTTTGTTTTTCTTTATAGCGGTAAAGAAGGGTTTGCATTTGTCGGTAAACGGCTAAGTGCTGCAGCTCTTTTGGTCAGACTTTGTATTTCCTCTATCTTCCTTGGGGACTTCATATCCATGATCACCTTGATCTGATCAGAATTGACCTTTATTCTAGGTTTGGTCACTAGGTAACCCAAGAATTTTCTGGACGCCACTTCGAATGTGCATTTTTCTAGATTGAGCTTCATGTTGTATTTCTGGAATAGGTTGAAGGATTCTTGAATGTGGTCGAGATAATCCTTTCTCTCCTTGCTTTTGACGACTAGGTCGTCTACATAGACTTTCATTATTCTTTCGATCTTTTCCTTGAAGATCTGGTTGACCAACCTTTGACATGTTGCCCTTGCGTTTTTAAGACCAAGGTTATGTAATAGTACGTACCTCAGTCTATGACGAAGGAAGTTGCCTCCATATTTGGCTAGTAGATCTTTATCTGGTTGTAACTAGAATAGGGGTGCATAAAGCTCAACAATTTGTGCCCATATGTGGAGTTTACCAGCAAGTTAATCGAGGAAGAGGCTACGAACCCTTGGGGTATGCCTTGTTCAAATTAGTGAAGTCCAAACAAACTCTCCACTTTCAGTTCTTTTTTTGTATGAGCACCATACTCGCTAACCACTCGGGGTGATAAGCTTTGACAATGAAGTTGGCGTCATTAAGTTTATCGATCTTAGATTCAATGATCTTGCTCCGCTTTGTGCCATGATTCTATTTTCATTGGATAACCGGTTTGGCAGTTGGGTAACAAAATAGTTGATGGTAAGATGAAGGGATTGATTTCATTTTATGAAGCTAGTTTTTTCCCAGTATGGGGTTGTGTGGGGTCAGGTAATCATGAGTGGAAAAACACCAAGTAGTTGTAAGGTTCCGCATGAATCGCAAGTTTTACCGTTTTAAGAGACCGACCATGAGTTCCGCTGAAGGTGTGGAGAGTGTAGTCATGCTTTTGCTAATGTTGTCCAATATCCCCATCCTTTTGGTAGCATCCTTAAAAAGGATGTTGACCACATACTCGTTGCCCACCAGAACACGACTGACCATAGCGCTTGAAATTTAGACCTTAATGACAAGAGCGCCATCAGGGGGTGAGTGGACGTCCTCCAATCCCGATCAAAGAACATTAGGATATTGGTGTTGATTAGGAATAGTTTGTTAATAGTTGCCACCATCATGCATGCATCATTTCTTTCCTTGTGGGTCTTCATTACAGAGCTAATTTTCCAAGGCCAGAGTAAGATGGATTAGAGTACGCCTACCTTGGAAGTTCGGGGACTTGACAACCTTCATTACAGAGCTAACTAAACAGATTAGCAATGCCACCATCATCCTGCTCCAGAGTCAATAGGCGAAGTTCATCGACTTCATTGAGATAGACTATTCTTGTTTCGCGAGATTTGAGAACCTAATCCATTAAGGAATCAACATGTTTCCTATAATCTTGCAGTCCTTGGTCTAAGGGTTGGCGTGCACCGCAAGTAATCACTCCTAAGAGGATGCAATATTTACTTCCTAGATATCCTCATGGATTCTCCCAGTTCAATATGGTTTCTACTATTCTAAAAGATTATCTCCACAACTGGTATAAATACACCTTTCTAGGGTTCGTCTTTGGTAATGCAATCTTTGTACACTTATTCTCTTACCTACTACTTGAATCTTAATATTGCTAACTTAACTGTCAAAAAGCCTTTGACCGACACACCTTCATCCCCAGACCCTAGACTTACTCACAGTTGTGTGCACTTTTCTAGCTAAGCATATTTGAGTATCTTCGTCGCTAATCGTGGTGCACGAATTTGGTTCCAACAACCGATATTATTGTCAACTTTAACAATTATTATCAGGAGTAGAGTTTTATAAAATGTATTGGTGATATTAGGAGTGTAATCTCCCGTTTATAAATTGTATATTATCTTGTAATAATTCCAATGTGGATGTCTACTCTCCAACAGCTTTAGGGCCTTTTCCAAGATTCAATGCTCTCAATATGTGTGTTTTTTTTGCAAAAAAGTATATATAATAGCAACACAATGCACAATGGAAAATAACATATGGATATACTTTGATTTTTCTTTGACAATATATAGAGCAAAACTACACACAATCAACCCGAGTAAAAAAAAGGGGTACAAAAACAAAGATCATCATGCTACGATCATAACAATCTTCTAAGAGCAACACTTTGACAAATGGAAGCAAAGCAAAACCCTGTTCAACCAATTCTAAAGCAGCAGCAACAACATTTCGGCATCAACTAATGCTCTTTTCTGCTGCAGCCAATTTAGTTTTTGAGAGTTCAATCCCTTTGCTTTTTTAATCCCAAAATATCATAATGTTTTTGTTTTTTGAATAAAGCTTTGAGGTTATACAGAAGAGTACATAGTACATTCACAGATTCACTTGGTTTTGGAATGGAATGTTTTTAAAAATTCAAGTTATAGATAATGGCTATAAGATGTTGGTGGCCCCCAAAGGATACAGTGAGGGAAAGAATGAAAAAGATTTGTAAGAGAGAGAGAGCAAAAGGGGGGGGTCACTTTAGCAGGCTCGCCCTTTCACTATGTCCAAGCTCATCTCACTTGGATCTGTTGCTTGCAATTCAAATGAAATGCCGTCCAATTCTCTCTTGAATCTGTCCTTGGAACTAGCATACACCATCTTCATCCTCACCTTTGATGAATCCGGTGACCTAATCCATGCCACAAAAACACATGTACAAGTATAGTTGTTTAGTGTTCAACAAAGTGCAAAAAGAAATGAAAAAAATTACTTGAACAGATATCGCAAAATTTCCCTAGAAAAATATTCACATTAGAGTCATCGGAAATAATATACTTGGCATTCGTTTAGTACCCAAAATTGGATTTGATAATCCACTTGTTTTTAAGATACTTTTAAGCAAGAAATGAAGAAATTTGGTCCAAGTTAAAGGTAAAAGATGAATTACTCTCGGTAAAAACTTATTCTTTTTAATCCCACAAATGTCCGCACAAAATGGTAGAATAGAAGCACCTTATAACTGATCCCCTCTAATCCCTCCCAACAAATAAAATCATTCACATCTACCTTCATTCTTACTTCAAACATACCATGAATTATATATCATTCATTCAACCAATCCAATCCAATCTTATTCACTAAATGAGCCCTTATTATTTAGCTATATAATGCACATTGGTAATTTGAAATCTAACAGTGGTTGAATGAGTCATCCTTCAAAATACAACCTATTAGTAGTTGCATACAACTTTGCGTCTATAAGAGAGATTGATAGCCATAATTGTACACAACTGGTTGTATGTATGGAAAAATTACTCTTTACAAACAAGTGAGACTTGTACAAAAAATGGATAATGAACCTCACATGTTTGTTTACATTAGAGTCGGACACAAATTTCATTTGTTTTTCATAGGTGGCCTCATGCAAGTTATGCAACTAAGAAAAATAGTTAAGCATAGGCATAGCATATATGGCGGCATGTTTATTTTTCAAATTGATTTCCAAAAGAATATGAGGATGTGTAATGTTTGTGTGAAATTACTTACCATGCAATGAAGAAAATCTTGCTTTTCTGGCAGTTCTCTTCGGTTGTGAAATCGAAATCATAGACAGCATATCGACACTCATCAGCAGGAAAACTGGAGGTGAAATCATCATAGCTCTCATTAGGTTCCCCGAGCTTATCAACCACAATTTGTTGTTGCTCAATCTTGAACAGAATGAAGCGATAGCTCCTCTTTGCTTTTAGCTCCTTGAACCTCAGCTTGCAGTCATCGTGCACAGCCATTCCAGAAGCTGCATTGGCCTGCAGGATCCCATGTCATCATATATAAAAGTTATATCATTAGTTCCAACCTCTAGTTAATTGGTGCATTATTATGCACCTATTGATCATAAAATTATTACTCTATATAGATCTGTTTAAGAAATTTGTTTTCCCTATTTTGTTTGTATTAGTGATTTTTAAGAGCAAAGCATCACACAAAAAACGTTTTGTCGGATGTTAACATGGTGAATGTTCTCTTATTTGTTTGCACGTGTGATTCAGATTGCGAATGTGACATGTTATATGTTATCATAAACCAATCTGGATCAAAATGAAGAAACAAACAAATTGGAGGGTAGCATGAAAAATTAAGCATCATCGTTACACAGCTCAATACAAACATAATGCCTTTGGTTGACCTAATAAGAAATAAATCATCATAATTTACCCTACGATATTTATGAATCATCATAAATTGTAGAAACAAAAACAATAGAGAAGAGGATGCATACCATTTTGTCTCCAATGAGAAAGGGCTTCTGAAATGTGAAAAAAAGAGAGAGAAGGGAATTGGGGGCCTAAGAGAACGGAAGTGGGGGCAAGAAGCACAATGAGAGCCTATGGGGGCAAAAAAAGAGAAAATGGATCCTTGTTTTTGGGAGGTATGAAAGGTGGAGAAGTTGGAAATTAGGAGGCTAAGATAATGGAGGAGGAGAGAGTTTGGAGGAGAAAATTTGCTTCTTCTGCCGATTGTGTCCACAAGTCACTTTAGTCCTTCCATTCCACGTATTGTAACCTCAATTTGTTATGGCTTTTTGGGATAAATTCTATTGAATTTTCCTGTTTTAGGTCTAAAATGTTGTTTAATAATCAGGAAGGTTCTAAAGTGTTGAAATAACCTACGTGTTGGATTTAATCCGACGATTTGTAATCTAACAACTTAGTTGACTCATCATACGATCCATTTTATTTCCAAAGACCCCTTCTTATGACTATGGTTATCGGCTTATAATTTAAAAAAAGACGTGGTAGAAATACTTGGTTTAGATGGATGCTGTAGTAGGAGGGTATGTAAGTGATGGTAGTTGAATTTTATTTGGTTTCATGGTAAGTGATAATTAAAAATTCATAATATTTCTCTTTTCAATGTTGGAACCTGTTCGAAGTTTAAATCCTACCTCCCTGTTGATGAAATTATGTGGATAGCATCCATACAATTTGAAACTATAAACTAACAGGGTACAAACTTTGTAATTAATTTATGCGCTTAGTTTACATTGAATTTTCATTGCTAAAACAAAAAGTAATTTTGTAAGAAATTATAGCTGTTGCTGCTTAGAGAGATTTTCCCAGTACTTATCTTCCCACTGTTGCACTTGTGTAATTGAATTAATATTCCTCCTGTATAACTTTGCAAGAGCTCGGGGTTCATAGGGAGGAGGCATGGTGCAAGGGTCTGTTGCTGATGGACTCTTAACCAATGATTCGGTCATAGACTTCTTCGGCGACTCATTTGCAGGACAAGCTATACTCTCCGAGCACAAATGTGTGGTGCCCTTGGGTATTCGTGGCTCAAATCTTAAGAGTTTAGCATATTCATTTAATAGATGAAACATGTAGTCATACACATAGTCCATCTTTAGCTCCTCCTGAATGAAGTCGCTTGCTGCTTTTCCAATTGCTTGTGCCTGTTCCAAAGTCCATAAGTAACAGAAACCGTAGAGTATAAACTTCCAGAGTAATGCTAGAGGGATCACATTGTTGACTGCACCTCTATAAATGTGGCAAAAATAGCTCTACTCGGAGTTTAAAAAGGACAATACCATAAATTACGAACAAAATGAAAAGTAAATTAGAAAGAGGAGTCACCTTTTGTTTGTGGTTGTTGCCCCAATCCACAGCAAACTTAATGGATCTACATTTGTTTTCATGCCTTATAGGCCAGTAATGGTGCACTGGTTGCAGACCTCTTGTGAAGAAATCATAGTATTTCGGTTTTATCAGCAATGTTACTGAATCACAGGCTAGAATGTACTTCTCGCTCACAGACCATGCATAACCCTCAATATAGATCTTGTACCTGCATAAATCATGATAAAATGGAATGATGATTAAAGTGAAATTTAATTACCAAACAGGAGAATTTTATTTATATGTCTACAAGAAGTACCTGTGTGTGCATTGGTCTGCTACATTTGATTGCTTGAAGCCTTGTTGAGATTCAAGAATCCAATCCTGAAATTATACCTAATTAGTTTGTAGATTTATTGGCTAATTGGGTTTTCAATCAAAAGTTAATGATGTTGATAACATATGCCTTTTGTTTAAACGAAATTAGTTTTTATTTTTAATGGTACCTGAATGAATAGGCGAGCATTCCAGTCTTGTGTCCCTGAGACATTACATTTGAGTAAGTCTTTCCTCGTATCAGCAACAAAGGGGTTTCCTTTCCAGTATGCATAAGGTTCTCTATCCATCCATTTGATCCTTTCATTGCCTTTCTTGACATCTTTCAACAAACCTTCCCATGGTTTTATGTTTATCTCATTCCTTCAAAAATTCATGCAGGCTATGAGTTATGAGAAAAAAGTACTTTAAAACAAAATTGTAACATTCTCTTGCCAGATATATAATATGTACGTTGTTAGACTGTGAATTTGTATGAATTTGGACTGACTGTTTGACATGACATTGTTCCAAGAGAAGTTTTCCAACACTCAAACATAGCTAGAATAGTTACGTTGATGAATTATTAATTTAGTTTGTATTTAGTCTTAATTTGAGTGGTCCTTAGAGGTTTGGTGCCCTATCATTTTCATGCCAGAAAGTAAACAAAAAAGTTAAGCCAAATTCCAAAATTTCAAACATACCAACCCCAGAAGGACCAATCAGGGAACACAATGTCCCTTGTCCATCTATCACCACAATACCGGAACAGTGGCGGTACCCGAGTCGAGTTCAGTCCCTGGTAGTCCCTTGATCGGATGACCGGCTGGTCATCACAGTCAAACATGAACTCCAAGTCAGGTAGTCTGCCAGGATACCTCCTAAGAAGCTGCAAAATGCCCCATATGGTAAAAACATCCCTTGTTTGTATGGACTGCTTGTACTTCTCAACATAAACCTTGCCCTTCACAATCACGAGCCTAAAATGCGCTGTCTTCTTTGCGTTCTCTACCATGTCCCTTGTGATTCCTGTGCGTTTCCATGGCATGAGATCCTGGTGGATGAACCGGAAATAGTCCGGGCACAAAGGGTTTGGCGACGGGTCAAGTTCATCAGTATTGCTAAAGGTTGTAGGGTAGTTTGCTGGGCAGGTCTGAGTTTGGTTGCCAATGGAACAGTTGAGTGGGAATTCAACTGGTTTAGGGGTTTTTTTAAACTTGTTGGAGACTACTATGGTTTGGTTTGTAGAACTTCCAATCTGAAAATTGGACTGTATCATACAAAAACATGAAAATTATATGTCAAAACATGCATAGGCGGTTTAGGTAAAATTACTAAAACTATATCAAGTGAGTAAGGCTTACGGTTTGAACCCAAAAGGAAGATAGAATGGCCGAAGCAACAATGAATAGCCCCACGAAGAGAATAGTATTGGTTGCAGCAGCAGCTGGTGCAGATCCCTTTAAACTTGTTCCCTGAAACTTGAAAGGTCTGGCAAAACGATATCCACGCAACATTGGAACTAATAATAGTTTTGTTTAGCTATAGGTGACTTTGGAGTTCTGAAGTCTAGAGCTTTGGTACTGCTTTGGATTTTTTTATTTTTTTTCCTTCCAGTTGTGTACAGCACCAGAAAGCCCCCTCGCGTAATAATTGAATGGTGGGATTTATATATGGTGCTTCATCAACTTGTAATTGTGTAGATTAATTTCAAGTTGACGGGAAGCGTTAATTAAAAAATAATAGAAAATTATGAAATGATGGAAGAATAAAGTAGAAAAGTAAGTGGTAATCTGTCGGTGATAGGATTTTCTCCGGATTCTTTATGTGAGATCCTATGGATCTTCGCATCTTTCATTGTAAATGGTTAATTTTGTTAAATATTGTTTGTGTTTAATTTTAAATAAAAAATAAAAATAATTTCTGACAGCACGATATAAAATAAACAAATATTGTGAACAAAGAGAATTCGGATGACATCCAAATCCGTCGGTTGGGGTGGAGCCAAAACGCATTTATGGAGTTATTACGTGGTTGGCACGTTGCCTCGCACTCTAATCAAAACCAGTAAAATACACAAACTATGACTTTTAGGAATACAAGGATATAGTAAAATATATATGAAGGCTTAAGAATTCAAGGATCTTTAATTGCATGTTTCCACCATATGTGTATTGTTTATGTTTAAGAGCTGCAAGTAATTGTGGCACTATAGTTGCGTTGTAAAAGTCTTTGTAAATTAGAGTTTGTCAAAAAATATGATATCTGTGTTTTTTTTTTTTAATTCAAAAACTTCTTATTAATCCCAAAACATGGCAAGAAATGGAGGAGCCTGAACAGTAAAGGCCAAAGGGCAATACAAATAACAAAGCGGACAGCTCCAAGCTGCGAGCACAGGAACGGTTTACACACAGAAGGGGGACCAACAATAATTAGAAGGCTCAAAACAAGAGAAGCAAATGACATAAAGATCAAAATGTTGCTTTCAATATTATCTGTCTTTGTAGGAAAAAGGTGTTGAAGGAAGAGACCGACCATGCGAGAGAGCAAGAATAACACGACGACTATTGGAGGTCAGAGTAAGATTATTTAACTTCTTTTTACGGATTAAATTATATTAACGAATACGTTTTAATACGAACACATTTTAACCGTTAGATTGATGAGGTCGATCTCGATTAACATTTTCAACAGAGTATAGAGTTTAGATTTGTGAGTTACCGTTGAATTTGTTCGTATTGATCAATACAAACTATTTGCTTGAAGGATTTTGTGAGCAAAGGATCCAACACTAGCAACGACTCTAACTGGGCCAGAATTATGTTTCATATAGTAATGATGCTTACATGAAAATAGATGTTCAACTTTCTTTTTTTTTGCTTTATGACAAAATCGCGTATAGAATTCTTTGGCTTGGTCCCTCCATGGATGTGGAGATAGTTTGATTCGATGAGCCTCCAGATGCAATCGTTGATCTCCTGCAAGAAGATAGCCGTACATATTGGTAATGTAAGTGCATGACACATTTTTTCTTCTTCCACTATGAGGTTCTCCAGTTGTTGAAACGAATTTCAAACCTGTATTTCACATTGCTCGTCCTGGATTCGATTTTTAGGACTGGTTAATCACAAGATATGGTGACCAGGAGATGCTGAAGTGTCTCTGTGAGTCTTCCCAACCTTTGAAATGGTGGACTATAATGGCTTGGCCACCAGCTGGTCCCTTTTAAATATTTAAAAATAAGATCTCTAGCAAGATTTTTTATGAGACCCATTCAAAATCACCATATTTGTACAGAAGATTTGAAGCTTCTTCTTACACACATTCATTTTCCTCATCAATAAATGTCATACTACTTAAAAAAAATAGAGAAGTTTAAATATTCCAGATTAACCATGATTTCAACAATTTTTGTCGTGCAGTTGACCGTGATTTCAATTTCATTAGTCTCCCAGGATTCTTCCGAAGCCCTAGTGAGTTCTATATGGGTGTAAGGGTTAGTTTGTTTGGCCTCACTAAACTTTACTGGACTAAACTGACTTAGCCAAAATTACTAGTCCATGTTTGGTGCGAGTAAGGATTAAGTTTAATGAGACTACGTGTGACTCGTGTCGATTAACAGCTTCACTAAGTCATCCTAGTGAGACCCCTAAAAAACTTGTGGATTGCTACTCCCGTTTCCTTCGTCTGCAACACGCCTCACCAATTTCAGTCGTCCCTCAAACGCAGTCACCGACTCACCAAATCTTGTGTTCTCCTTCGTCCTGCAACTTCACCGCGTCTTGGTTAACGCCTTAAATCCATGACCCACCCCTGATTCAGACGATTTGCACCAAAATTTCTGATCTCAAAGTTCTTGTTGAGGCTCTGCCCTCTCAGCTTCACAAATCTGACCAATTTTTGTTTGGTAATGGGTTATGGGATGAAGAATCCCTACCCAAATTAAAATTGAGGATGGTATTCATTTTACCATTTAATAACTCATAATCAGATTTCGTTAACTAAATATTTGCAACTCGCCAATTTAAAACAGACTCCTTAAGTATTTAAATATTATTTAATAGATGAAAACAGAAGAATTTATAATTCCGATACGAACATACTTTTGAATTCATTCAATTTGAATTGGCATTTTCTCCATCATAATCATAATCATAATTATTGAGATGAAACATCCACAATAATTAGCCTCAGGCAGTTTATTTGTGAAACTCTATGTATGGCCAAAAAAGGAACACACCTAAAATCGGGGGAAGTTATAATTGTTCAAATTGACTATGTAGTAATAAGATTGGGAAGCCCTATTTAGCCACTCCAATAGCAACTGTTCATGAACATTATGGAGAAATCCTTTCCGAAGGAGATACATTCGTTACATTTATTGATCACTGCCCATCTGGGTTATAAACAAAATTGGCAGATGAAAATGGTCATTCTTGGCAGGGAGAAAGAGAGAGAGATGTGAGATTTTTTTTTATTGTTTTTAGGTTTAATTTTTTTTTAAAGAAAAAGTACTAAAAAAATGGTACTTTTTTTTGGGTATTTTAGTCCACAGCTAGTACGACACTACATCAAACGTTTCATTACTTTATCCTACTTAATCTAAGCCAAGCCAGTCTAGCTTAATCCAGTCCAAGATAGTACTAGTTATTTGTTTGGCCAACTCATTACCTATCAAGGCAGTCTGGTTTCTATTTGGTTCTAAGTTTTATTTTTTTTTCCTTTTATCATAATGTGTAAATGCAAGTATAATTTGAGGATGTTAGGCCATCTCTAATCGAATGAGAGGCAGAGGGCTCCCTTTAGCCCTATAGCCCTCCAAGAAATTAACATTTTAATGAACAGTGCCACGCCATATTTTTTACCATCTCCAACCGAAGGGGCCAAAGGGCCACAGGCCAAACATGGCCTTGTGACAAAAAACCATCTCCAACCAAGGTGACTAAAGGGCCATAGGCCAAACATAATTTATTATTTTAATTGAATTAATATGGTTACTTAAATTAAACTATCTCAATAATTTTTCGGACAGGATTTCGAGTGGCACGTGTCGCTAAAGTGAGTAACTCTCCAGATTTCTTGTTGATATGTATTCTCAATAATTTTTCAGATAGGATTTCGAGTGCCACATGTCGATATGTGAGTAACTCTCTAGATTTCTTGTCGATATGCAATCTCAATAATTTTTCGGATATAATTTTGAGTGCCACGTGTTGATATGTGAGTAACTCTCCAGATTTCTTGTCGATAGGTAATCTCAATAATTTTTTGAATAAGATTTCGAGTATCACGTGTCGATATGTGAGTAACTCTCCATATTTCTTGTCAATATGTAATATCAATAACTTTTCAAATAGGACTTCAAATACCACGTGTCGAGATGTAATTGGTTGTGCGAATTTTAGATAGGATTTTTATATGCGTGACACTTCTTATCTTTAGCTTCCAATGTCTATAAATAGGATGGATATTGGGTTATAATTCACACACCTTCATCTTTGCCCTCTCCAATATCTCTTTCAATTAAATCCCTTTTAATTCAAGTTTGCAATGAATTCTAATTTTGGATCCTCTTCACATTCCAACTGGGGGTGCTCATCCAATTCCGAATTGGAAGATAAATGGGCGTAGATGAAACTAGAAAATAGGGAGTTCGATGAAGAGATGAAGCATGGCGCAACACAACATATATGGCAGCAATGGTTGGGGTCATGGCGTGTGAGCCAACTGAAGAACCTCAATAGGGTGGCTCTGTTGCTAGTCGCTTTTACAAACCATGAAATAGAGAGATGGCATAGGAGACTCTGATGAACAACTACTTCAACCCCAACTCGTTGTACACATGAGAGGATTTTAGATGTTGCTTCCAAATGAAACGTTATGTATTTGAGCATTTACTTCATGATGTCTAACATGTCAATCCATACTTTTGACAAAAGCTGGACAAAGCAGGCCACCCTGATTTCTCACCTCATCAAAAGGTTACTATTGCACTCCGAATGCTGACCTATGCCTTCCCAGCTGATGCGATGGATGATACATATGGTATGTCTGAGTCTACATGCCTTGATAATCTTGCTAAATTTTGTCACACAGTTGTTCAGATTTACAAAGAGGAGTACCTCTATGAACCAAATAAAGTAGATTTGGATCGGCTCTTTCACAAAGTTGAAGACCGTGGCTTTTTGGGCATGATAAGGTCATTAGATTGCATGCATTGGTAGTAGAAGAATTGTCTCATCGAATGGCAATGAGGCTTTAGGGGAAGATCGAGAAAGGCAACTATTGTGTTAGAGGCGGTTGGCTCGTTTGACACATGGATCTGGAATGCTTTCTTTGGAGTCTCAGATCCCAAAATGACATTACAATACTTAGGCGTTCACCCCTCTTCAATAACCTAATGGAGGGTAAATCACTTCAACTTGACTACTACATCAACGGGCATCAGTACAATATGGGTATTACTAGGCAGATGACATCTACCCAAAGTGGACAACACTTGTCCAAGCAATTGCAAACCCTATGGCTGACGCCTAAATGTGGTTTACCTTAC